TCCAAGTGTCAAGCGATACTTTTACAGGGTGACTGACATGCAGAAAAGTGTCTAAAATATTGTGTATGCTTACAAAATAAATATATCCATTCACCTTCAAAGTCACATCACACAAAAATTCGCACCTCACACAAAACGTGCCTCACATCTATGGCTGTTGTGTATTGTATTTTCTACTTGACATCGCAAAATAAATTTTAATAAAATTTAAATGACTGGAAATGATATATAATGTAAAATGTTCACGATTCATAAATTTTCCTATCTGTAGCCTATTTTTTTCACCTGTTAGTTGTAATATATTTCACAAACCAGGGATCTTCCTTTTTTTCTGTCGCATTTTTGAAAATCAGCCTATTTGCATACGTAATTTCCAGAATGAATAAGAAAAGTTGAGGCGCAACTAATTTCTAGTAGGAAAACCTACATAATGTCACAAAAAACCTACATAATGTAAAAAAAAAACCGACATTGTCACTTTGCCAGATACGTAATCCCCCGTTCGACGAGTTTGTCAAAAATACCTGTCATACTCAACATCTCTAGTAGATACAAAAATAGGCCCACGATTACCGTTCATGCCTCCTTTTCCTACACCATATCCATTCCATCAATCTGACATGTCGAACGGAGGCACGTGCTTTTTGCCCAAAGTCTCAGATAAGCTCACTCAACTTTCATGTCACTCAGTTTCATGCACAGCCCTTTTACTGTTTTTATCTTAACCCACTTCATGTGCCCGATAGAGGATTTGAATTGGATTTCACTTGTCGTATATAAGGATGAGACAGAAACGTCCTTTTAACATTATGCAGCTTTGTGAGCAGTAGAGAATATTTATGTACGTATAAAATTTCACAAACAGAAATGTTGAAGCAGTATGACATGCACCGCGTATATTTCCCACGCTATTTGTCGGAGAGGTACTATCATTGTGAAATATTTCCAAATTGATATTGTTTTTCCGATGTTATACAGGGTGTTTTTTAAAGTTGAGTTATTTATTTTAACAGCTTGTAGAACTCGTCAAAAGAAGTTGTTATACCAAAAATCACCTATATAAAGATGCATAATAAGAGAGTTAGCTTACATTATTCTAATAAGCATAAGGCAGCTCTGTCAGTTATCTGCCTCTTCATCGTGACAACATACGTCAAACCGTGGTTGCAATTCACTTTAGCGTAAGATCACCTAATTAATGAAGGCTTAAGAAAGAATTGACAAAATCAGCTTTACAAAAGTTCTGCCAACAATTATGGTATAAGATTAGTCACCAAAGAATCATAGGTAGGCTTCAGCATTTTGGTTTTAGCAATCATTTATTAGATTTCATTTCTTCTTACTTGCATGACAGAAATCAGTACGTTTCTTACAATGGTTTCAAATCTTCACCTTACTCGGCCTCATCCGGTGTACCGCAGGGATCAAATTTAGACCCTCTTCTCTTTCTTTATTTTATCAATGACCTCCCTAACTGCTTAACCTGTCCTTCTCTGTTGTTTGCCAATGATTTAAAAATATAAGCTCAGATTAATAGCATTGATGACTGTCTAATCTTGATAGCTGACCTGAATCATGTATTTGAATGGTGTTCAACTAATAAATTATTTTTGAATGGTAGTAAATGCGAAACCTGTTATTTTACCAGGAAACGAATCCAATAGTTTTTGATTACACACTGGACTGAAAGGTGTCAGTTTGATGCGTTGTTCAGTAAGAGATCTAGGTGTGTTGTTTGATGTTAAATTAGAATTTTCAGGTCATATTAGTACATCATCCGCTATAAAAAGTCTCGTTTTTTATGAGAAACTGTAAATCGTTTGGTAGTGAAACGGCACTGAAGGCTTCATACTGCACCTTGGTGCGTTCTAAGCTGGAATATGCATCTAGTGTATGGAATCCATATTACCAAATCTATACTAATGGAATTAAAAGTGTACAGAGGAGATTTCTTAAATACTTGACTTTGAATTAGATGGTGTTTATCCCAATCGTGGGACTCCCCAATCAGCGATGTTGCTCAGATTTGAAATGCATCCTCTTGAGCTGTGAAGAGTTTGTAATAGTTTAAAATTCCTTTACAAACCCATATACAGTGAGTGATGTTGATTCTTCAGCTTTATTAGCTAAAATTGATTTTCATGTACCATCCCGCATTTAGCGAAGATTTCTCGCTTTTTACTTAAAAACACCAAATTCTAATGTTATGATTAAGTCACCCGTGTAAGTCAAAGATATATTAGCTGTATTCAGCGACTTCTATGATTCAATTGATAACATTTAAGACAAGTAGGTGAGTAGGAATTTGTTGTTTCATTTTTTCTTTCAGAAACTGGTCGAGCTATGATTGTAGTTAAAAATACTGTAACGTCAAATGATATTCAATTACATTGTCCTTTAAGTGGATGTATCTGTTGGGCAATAAATATATTATTATTATTATTAGTATTATTATTTGACAGATGAAGTCTCTGCGCCGGGCCGCGAGTTCGAATCTCGCCTTCGCCATGGATGTTGTGACGACGTGTGTTTGTCCACAATTAGAGAAATATAAGTAACACACATCTGTGGCAAATGGATAACTTCCAATGCCAATTATATGTTAAAAAATAAAGTCTCTGCCTTCTCTCTGTTTGACGACGACGTGGATGAGGACACTAAAGAAAAAACGGTACATCCCATCGAAAGAAGAACTTTCTGGGCCAATTTATGGTAAGTCTGACATATTAATTTTCCTTTTTCTTATTTTACTGCTTCGATATAATATGCTAACTGTTAAAATAAGCCAACATGGCCACATAATGATTCTTATCAACACGCTAAGAATAAGATGCAAACACTGAGAGCAGTTAACGATATTGTAGAAAGAGCAGTCAAGTTAATCCAAGACTCATGGATTAATCACTGCTGATGAGGAACAAAAATAATTTTTATTGCGTTGCATACAAAAACACAGGCTGGTTTGAAATCCATACATTCTTTCCCAATTAACATTCAAATCCAAAGTTTGACCGAAAGTTGTGCAAGGGCTATCGCTCCCCAGTCGCATTAATATTTGTTTTCTAAGTTGCTAGAATCAAATGGACAAAAATAGAGACTATGCGTACCTCAATTTGAACAAAAATGTGTTTGTCCTCAAAGGCTGGGATACCCTAACCCTAAAGTACTATGTCTCTTCTGACCATTTTTGGGCGTAGTCAAAAAAAATGTTGTAAGTTCCAATTTTCTGATAATAGTAATGCTTTACCTCTCAACCTAAGGTATGTAATGTACTATCGTAGAATTTACAAGACAGCTATGAAATCGATTATTTTCATTGTTGACATTGCCCAACTACGGAAACAATCGATATACAGGTATGTGTGTAGACCAGTTATTGTAGATTCACGAAAACTTAATCCTCTACAGGGTGTTCCTTAATGAGATGCTAATGTTTAACGAGGTGATTCTTCTTATTTTAAGGCAAATCATACGAATATATGTTCTAAATGTCTCAAGCAAGATACCGGGCGATCAAATTTCAGAAAAAATATGTATTTTATTTTAATTGTGACACTATTCTAGATATCTTTATGAAACTTGGTAAACATCTTCTATGCATCAATGCGTATCTTTGCATACAAACAATTTTATTATTTTCACCAGTGGCGTCCATTGTTTGCATTGAATATTTTTAGAGAAAAAATGGTACTCCACTGCTCTTCAATTAGAAACTATTTTTGAGATCTTTACTTCTGAACAAATTTGATCTCTTGATTTTCTTTCGACTGACGCATGATTTTCTCTTAAACAGATAAAAATCGTTTTGTTTCAGGGTCAAATCACTAAAAATCTGATGCAGAGACTGCTGTGCCGAAATCGCTTTTCTTTCTCTCTTAAGTTATTGAGTTCGTAAATATCAATAACACATTTGGTCTCTGAATTACTCAACGATTTCCGCGCAGGAGCACGCCATGTAAGAATCTCGATGTTGTTTTGTTTTGTACCTCAACATGATTAAAATAAAGACTTTGTTGATCGGTTTATACGTTTCAACATCGTCTTAATAAAATACTTCAATATTGCAGAAAAAAAAAAGCATTTTGAAAAATCTATGAGTTAGATGGTTTTTGAAATGACCGATTCAATTAAAAATGACAATATATTGTATTCTGAAACAGGAGCTCAAATACCGGGGCATCGCGGCTGGTCTAAGGGCTTATGAATCCGACTTTTGGTTAGTAGAAGTAGGAAAAGCCTCCGCTTGTAGATTGTTCCACTATCTCGGCACCCTCGGGACAAAGAAGCAATTGTTCTCGATCTACGAAGCTCCATACGATTAGGATGGGAGGCTGAGGTCAGGCGGGTCTGTCTGACAGGCGCATTGCGTGGCGGCATCATGGAGGAGAGCTCTGAGGAGCAAAGTCCGTTGACGTAGCCGTACGACAGAGAAAGGGTCCCGAGACTATCCGTTAGAGAAGAGTCATCGATTAGTCGGATTGCTCTCTTTGAACAGCATCTAGTATGGATAATCTGGACGGAGCTGCAGCACCCCAAACATGTCAGCAGCACTTGAGGTAAAGTCGTATGTAAGCCTTGTGAGGAGGATGTTATGTGGAGTAAATTACTTCTTAGCCCTAAACAGATATCCTAGATTTTTACTAGCAGCTGCCTCGATTGATGAGATATGTTCGTGCTAGATCAAGGCCTAGGTAATCAAGTCAAAATGAACGACACTTTGGTATATGTTTCTATTTGGCGGTCAGTAAAATATGGAGATTGATCAGCGGGACAACCGCGACCTAAGCTTCAGATGTTACATTCGTTGATTTACGCTGTTTATGCAATGGACATTTATAACGATTATACCCAAAAAGCAAGAAAGCATTTTAAGAAAGAATGTACGAAAAACGTGGTTTTTGAAATGAACAATTCATATATTCATACGAATTGTTCACCTTGGGCTAGCACACTACTACAGTTACCAGACTATACCTCTGTAAAACTGCCCTAGCCTGATACACTTTGGTACACATAAAAATTTACCCTATTTGCTAACCAATTTATCGTCCCCAAAGCCTTGTGTCATTCTGAAAGTTTGCCGTGATGTCCTTATTCAAAATCAGAGAGTTGTGGACAACTCACTGTGAGAGTGAAGATGAAGTGTTTGATCAGAACTCGATGATTGTCACTAAACTGGACAACACTGAGTTTTTAGTGACCGGAAGTCATAGTGGAGTGTTGAGAATATTCAAGCCTTTTAACGGTTCGGATGAGAGTGGATTTTCAGCAGCTGATTTGCTAGCGGAGAAGAAATATGAGCAGCCGATTTTGCAAGTAGGAAGTGGACAACTAGTTTCGTAAGTTGTAACAATAGTAAATATAAGGAGAAATTGTGGAAGTACCATAACATTAATAATTTGACAAATGAAAGCATAGCACATCAGTTATCCGTAAATCCAACCAACTCAATTGTTTTATTATTCGGAAAACACAAAAGAGCGTGGCAGATTTATTCCATATTTCAATTAATAATAATGTTATTCCTCATACATCCGCTATTAGGAATTTAGGCTTGATTATGGATAGTGACCTGAGGTTTTCAAAGCATGTTGATAAGTGCTTTGGCTGTGCTTATGGTCGGCTTAAAATGCTGTTTCCATATTGTCATATCTTTTCTACCGAACTTAAGGCTTTGCTTTGTGACACGCTTGTTCTGTCATTATTCAATTATTGCGACTCAGTTTATGAGCCTTGTAAAACAAGGTATGATGTTGATCGTATATAGCGTGTCCAAAACTCTTGCCTTAGGTTTATTTTTGGAGTGAAAAAATTTGAACATATTTCTTATAAGTTAACTGTAACAGGATGGCTAAATATGGAAGCTAGGAGAAATCTGCAGAAAATTCTGCAGTTTTGTTTCATAAAACTATTCTATATAAAACTCCGCCTTATTTATATAATAAGATTACACTTAGAAGCGATGTTCACAATATCAATGATCGGTATTGGAAGCTGATTTCCCAACCACGTCATCGTACATCTATGTTTAACAGATGTTTTTCTCATTTTATCTACCACTTGTATAATCACGTCCCCACAAACCTTAAGTCTATGTCTGTGTCAGCTTTTAAAAGAAGTTACAGAAAATTTCTATTAGATGAATTGTAGTGTTTACTTTATATTGTTCCTTTCCTTTTTATATTTTAAATGTTTTTTTTTTTGTTAAATCTGCTTTGATCAGCTCGTCTGTTTACTAGTCCCTTTTGCAGGGAATTCATGTTGTTTCTTCATTTTTAATTTTTTTCTTTTTGTATTTTTTTTCTCTGCAAATAAACGCTATTATTATTACTATTATTATTATTATATTAATGGGCCAAGATATTTCGCCAACAATATCCGCTTAGATAACAAACAAACAAAGATCGTGAATCGATCTCGTAATTCGTGAAATTTGCGTGGATGCATCGTCAGCCGTTCCCACAATTGGAGAAACAAGTGGATAAAGGTGTAACATTTTCTAAAAATTTTATTGCACTAAACTGGTTTTAAGGAGTGCTTCTTCCATTCTGTAATTACTTTGTTGCAAATACAGTATAATAACACCTTTATGGATTCCTTGATTTTCATAGAAAGACGGGTATTTCTAGATTTCTACTATACACTGTCAGTGTCAGCGCTCTCGTTTTGTGAGGCTATGTTTTCTTTTTCAATTGTAGGAAAATTCAGGCTGATATAACAAATGATATAAATCAAAACCATGAGCAATTCGATGCAAACAGATATTTGTAACATAACCTCAAAATAAGGCGCCGATACGGAACAGTTGAAAACTATGAAAATCAAGGAGGCCATAAAGGTATCCTACAATGTATTGTACGAAAGAAATTTCCTTGCGGCACTGTCCAGTAGAAAAACATATATTCTTGAATACAATACCTCGTAATCACCATGATGATTGTGTGTAGTCGTAGTAGATATTTATTTACTCCAGGATACAACAATAACAATATAGAATGGATGAATAAATATGTTGAAATGTGATTTTCCAAAAAAACACAAGAAAATAAAAGTAAAATAGGCTTGAAGAAAAACTATATCAAAACGGTGTATGTGTAAAAGACGACCAGTTTTCAATGTCAATATTAGATATGAGTTCAGTAATATAGTGTCAACCTATTCAGCGAAGCCGTTGTCACGCATTTTTTTGAATCATTGGGCATTTAGAAGTAGTTTTATGTCTTGAGGTACGAGGTTATATACTTTGGGAGACAAATATATAGAAAATCGTTTTATTTTGGTTTTATGAGATCTAGGAACAGTTTTTGCATGTAATTTGCATCGATTATCACAGTAGTGTGTGCAAGAAATAAAGTTTTTTTGATATCAAATAATTTCTTTTCATTGAATAAATCACTTTTTGAATATGTATAATTTTGATTTTTCGAAAATAGTTTTAGTTCTCTCTAAAACTACGCTAATAGGCTATGCAATCAAAAACGGTATGATACGTATACAATTTTCTGTTAATACGCGTGTGAAGAATTCAATTTTGTTTGTGATAAATCTTACTTTTTTCAACATTACGAGTATTAACTCTGCAAAATTCGACATTGATATTGTCTTCTGTTCAGTGATCTCTTATACACCACTGCCAGCATCATCGACATTATCAACATGATTTGAACCTGGCAACATTAAAACTATAGAGAAGTAGGCGTTTCCAATCAACCACAAATTATACAGCTGATAAAGTTCCTAAGTTTTGTGACAACTTTGTAGTTTTTCATACGAAAGCGAGCCTGGAAATCATCTGTGTTGTTGATCTAAAATTTTCATGGGAATCAAATTATAAAACTATTTACAATTAGTTAACATATAGGATGTAACATGAGCGTCAAACTGCAGTATTAACATTTCTATTCAGACTAACATTCTGAATTTTTTGAGATTATAGTGAAAAGCAAGGTGGAAGCTTTCATTAGGCTATTCGAATAATGGAAGAACGTTCACAAAGGAGGTTGGACATACGTATGCTGGCCGATTACTACTGAAATCTTCACCAGGAACAGAAAAAAGGCGCCGCATTTTAGAAAATGTTATAAAAGATATTTTGTCCTGAACCAAAGTAACTGTTTAAACCAGAGCTGTTTGAAAATATGCGGTTTTCGTAACCATCATTCTTAAAATAAACGAAAACAAATAAAAACACTGTAACATGTACTAAGTGACATATAAATCCGAAGACCCAGTTTAAATGGTTTTATTTTAATAAAAGTTGGTGAATGTATTTATCTTACTGTAAATAACATGTGAAAAAATTTTCAGCCTTATCAGTTGGACATTCCGGTTTTTATACTGCCTTTTTTTTTAATTCACTAACGCTCTAAAAATGAATATTTCAGCCGCAGTAAAGAATCAACGCTGGCGGATTTTGGTTCTTGACATGCTTTACGATCGGTTACGATGCCTAGAGTACGGAGACCTGTACGATTTCGTCAACTTAGTGAGTTTGATAGGGGCCGTATAGTGGTACTTCGGGAAGCTGGACCTTCTTTTCGGGCAATTGCAGTTAGAGTGCAAAGAAGTGTAGACACTGTGGTTAGGTGTTGTCAGGCATGGCTTCGAGAAGGCCGTACGCAAAGAGCAAGGGGCACTGGACGCCGCCGTAGAACAACAGACCGTGAAGATCGCCGCCTAAGATTATTGGCCTTAAGGGACCGTTTCTCCACTACCAGGTCCATTGCAAATGAATGGTTTGCAGAACACGGAAGACCTATTGGCATGCGAAGTGTTTACCGACGAATGAGAAGTTTTGGCTTGTTTTCATACCGGCCACACTGGGTCCTCCCTTTAACTCGAGAACACCGACGTAATCGCCTTGAGTGGTGTAGACAACGGTCACTCTGGGATCAGGAATGGAACAGTATTGTCTTTGGTGACGAGTCTCGATTTTGTTTAGGCATGCACGATGGTCGTGCCAGGATTAGAAGGCGACGTGGTGAAAGGAGGAATCCACAGTTTTTTGTTGAAAAACATGTTCATCACACTGTTGGAGTTATGGTTTGGGGTGCTATAGCTTATGGTTCCAGATCACCTTTATTCTTCATCAGAGGTAACATGAACGCGCAGCGTTATATCCACGAAGTTCTAGAACCCCATCTTTTACCCTATCTTGACACCCTGGCAGATCCAACAAGATAATGCCCGACCACATGTTGCAAGAGTCACAATAGACTTCTTTCAACATAATGATGTCACATTGTTTTACCTTGGCCACCAAGATCTCCCGACTTATCCCCAATTGAGCACGTGTGGGATATGATGGGTAGGAGATTGCTCAATTTGCAACGTCCTCCTCAGACTCTAGAAGCACTTCGAGAGGAGTTGGTGGTTGCCTGGAATGAGATACCACAGGAGGACATTGACCACCTGATCAGAAGCATGCCTAGGATTTATATGTCACTTAGTATATTTTTATGGAAAATGACTGTAATTACTGTACTAACGATTTTCAAACCTAACCACATAACTGCAACTTTAGGGCCGTATCATCAGTCGTTCCTACAATTGTAGGAATGCGTAGCACATCAGGGTGCATCCAGACATTATTAAAGGTCAAAGGGCTTTAAAGCAGTGTAATCATTTTGAAATTTTTATCATTTACTTATTATGCTTCATTGAGTACTTATACAAAGTTTTATTAAAATAAAAGCATTTAAACTGGGTGTTCGGATTTATATGTCACTTAGTATACATCATTGCTAACCAGTGCCGTCAAAGAATGGATCATCTTATGTTTCTAAGAAGGTTAAAACCAATCTTTTATGGGGGTGATAGTACACTCCATTATTAAAGCTCAATAAGCCACAAATAACTAAGTAAGATGTCCAACCATTTTTAAATTTTGTGAAGCCACCGCTTGTTTAACAATTAAGAGAAACTCCTTACTCCTCTAATTTTTCGCATTTATTTTGATGAATTGTCTTCCTATCCAAATAGTTTCCAAGATCGAAATATGGTGTGTATTTGATAAAACATATTTTTTGTTCTCTGAATTGTTCCATTTTGCAATGCCTCGTTTACAGTTTGATTTAAACTTACTGAAAAAAATTCGTTCCTTTGTACAGTGTCTGTCGTGTGAAGCGACTCATATCTTTTTCTCAACGCCACGGGATATCAAAACAAGCAGAATCCCATTGAAATTGCGGAAAACTATAAAACACATTTTTCGTAAAATAGAGCCCTTGATAAAGACAACATTATTAATTCACCCAATCATAAAATGTGAGCCGATTTTTTCGCTTATAGCAGTCAGTTTATCAGAAGTGATTCGATACCACAATACCTTGTAGCGTATCTGAAGATATAGCAGATCTCATAGTAGTTACGCAAAGTGAAAATATTAGAAAAATTCAATTAACAGAAATTAATTATTATATCCAGAAACATCAGAAGACTTCAGTGCAACGTACACACCACAAAAGGACAAAATATCTTTATGTTGTAGAAAATTAAAAGCTTTTCGTCATATGTATTTTTAATACATTTTCACCACCTTCGTACATATGTGGACTTTAGATCTCATCCTTTATTTTTGTGTAAAGCTTGCTAAAAGAGCTGGTTCATGTAAAGGGACGACTTCCAAGGACGACATGTCTTGTGTACCTTTTAAGAAATTAAAAATCTAGACGGTAATGAAACCCAGTACTTCAGCAATACAAAAGAGAGCATCGGGGAGGGCATGAAAATGTATAGAAATACTGGTCTATATATTGACCAAAAGAAATAAGTGATTTTGCTTCTTTCAAATGCTTTATCATAATCTTGACGACCTGTATCTGCACTGTCAAATGTATAGTGTATCACGGGTGTGACGCATGCTCTGAAGTTTTGTAAAACTCTTGTAAATGTTAATTGTATTTTTGTGTTGTGTGCATATCCATGTCAGCCGTATTCCTGTCTATTCAATTTATTCGATATTTTGATTTTGTGCAGTTGCCTTCAGATTCTTCAGATAAGCTGCAAGGTACTGTGGAGCCGATTCACATTTAGCAAGCTGACTAGTACAGCAGGAATTCGGAACAACAAGGCAGCAAAATACATAAGAAATAGCGATTCGGATTTTATTATTGAGTGTATGAACAATTTTGACAATATCATTCTGCCTGTACTAATATTCTGTGACATTCAGAAAAAAATCACGATTGCATCGTTTCATATAAGGAAGAGCAGGCGCGTATGGTGTTTTACAACTTTTATCAATTTTAAATTAGACAAACTTTCTCATTAATCCATTTGGAAAACCACGAAGTACCGCAATATCGAGTCATTCAGACAACTGAAATAATTTTTTATAGTGTACGCGATTTTCCGATAACCTGGAAACTGTTTGTATAGGAAAACGAATGAAAAAAATAGCAGAACTAAAGAGTTATTCTTCATTATTGAGCAAGCAATGATTGATCACATGATTTTGACTTTCCTATGAGATTCCATAAAATGGTTCGACTTCGTACTAAAGTATATGTGGCATAATGTTTGCCAAATGGAGTAGTATACTATCATCCCTTAAAATGTCGCCCTCCCGAACACGCTTTGTATTGAATATTTCCAGGCATAGCAAGTCAATTGTTCACTTTGATCTCATTTTAGCGGCTCTCATCAACTCCAGTTGGCAGTGTTGCAGCCAAGATTGTTGTCTGTTTGCAATGTCAATGTGAAACAAGGAATATCAGAACAAGGTAAGCGTACTTCTTTGGTTTTTTGCCCCCCGTCAGTTCTTTTTTAGTCTATCTTTTTCCAATACGCTCAAATATATTCGCCGTGCGCATTCGAAGCGAACAAAGAAGGTATACAGCAGGACACGTACTTTCTAAACTTCAGGCCTGTTGTTGAGGAACTTTCACAAATATTTAAAAAAAACTCTATTCCTCTCTCACGCTATGTTTTTATTTATCTCTCTACTTTCATTCAAACTTTCGCCATATATCAGTTAAACTCTGTCCCTCGGGTAACATAACGCACTGCCGAGTTCCGTCTATTAAAAGTGCACCTTTTTGATACATGAAACGTGTGTATGTTTTTTTCGCCCCATGGATATAAAAAACGCATTTAGCAATCTGGAATTACTGCACTGGAATTCGTTTTACTTTCCACGCCAATAGTCGATAGCTGTTCTATATTTACGAGCAATTTCGAAGTCGATAAATTATTTTGAACTTTTTTCGACAGGTATTTATAATTTAGGTGGATCATAGAAGGCTTTTGCGAGGGACGCTAGAAAAAATCTACTTAGCCATGAAACAAATTTCTCCAGGGAACTTACACCCTTGTAAAAAAACTGTTTCCTCTTGGCTCTGAAAAAGAAAGTCGACGGGGCCACGTCTGGACTATAGGGAGGACGATTTGTTTCAACACAGCTGGATTCCTGGACAATTGGTCCAAATTTGGCAGACTCATGCACGGTCGCATTGTCAAGCAGCAGTAACACTTTTCGATTGCTTTTGGAAAACTTTTCAGCATGTTCGCATAGACTTTCGTTGTTGTCTCTTTTGGCATGTATTCAATGAGAAGGGTGCCTCTGATGTCCCTAAAAACTGTTGCCATCAAATTTCCAAAAGGTTGTGGCCGTACCTTTTTGGGCCTTTACGTAGCCACTGATTATATTTAGTCTATGACTCAGGAGCTCACCACCCAAGTGCGATTAGTTGCCCGCCACAGTTTGTGCCAAAAAGTCAGAAACGTTGGAAAAGTCTCCACACGACTTTTTGAAGTTTCCAACCTGCGAAATTTTTGTTCAGGTGTCAACAGTCGGGGGACCCATCTGGCTAACACCTTACACATGCTCAAATTGTTTTGCAAGATGGTTATAACGCTGATTTGCGATATATATATAATGCCATACTAATGGTAGACACCTTCACACGATGATCTTCGAGAACCATGGCATCAACTTTTAGAGTCATTTTATCATTTGTTGATCTTTTGGGTCTTCCACTTTTTGGACTGACTTCTGTGGACCACAATTGCATTGTTTAATATGATGGTGCATCATCCCCACTGACGGGAACCAATCTCTCAAGAGTTGTTTTCTGCTTAAAATTCTCTGGTGTTAGAAATCTTATGACACTGCGATGCTCTAATTTTAAGTTACTAATTTTTTTTTTTCATAATTCACGTTATACATTGAAAACTAATCAAATTTTGCAAGAAATGTTCGAACATATGTCACTATTTGATATATTGTGCTTGAGCGTTTCAATTGTTTTTTCATGACTAGATAAATTACTTCTCTAGCGTCCCTCTTATAACAAATAAACAGTTATTATTTCTTTATATTCTGGATACATTAAACAAACAAATTATTAAGTAACCTTTTGTTCTATTAAGCACCTTAAAACAGTTTTTATTATTGTAGAACTAATCATTATTTAGTGAATTTTAGTTTTATTAAACTTTTCCGAACGGACTTTGCAATGAACATTCAAGTCGATATAATAAATCAATATTTTAACCAAAAGCGTTGTGATCAAGTCTATCTAGCGATTCTTAAGATGGAAAATCAAGTAGCTACACTAATACGAGCCCCTTCCCTCTTCAGTTGGCCCACTTCAAGATTTCCAAAACCAAAATATGCCGTTATAAACTAAACATGACGAAACCGTTTACTTCTAAAACAATTTATTTTCTCAAAAACATTTAAGATGCACTCTAGTCGCAAAAAATACATATTTGAAATCACTTAGACCTATAACTAATAGAACATCTGAACAAATAAACAATGTGCGAATAAATGCGTGAAGTTAACAAAGCAACAATTGTCAGATTACCATTGGGTAACATCACCTTTATTTTTTATTACGGCTGGAATTCTTTGGGGCATAGTGTTAACCAAGTTTTGGCAAAAATTTGGTGTAAAACAATCCCATATTTCTGGAAGCTTTTGTCTCAGTTCGGTGATTGTACGAGCAGGATGTTGTCGTAGAACCTTTTTCATCTCGTGCCACAAAGTTTCAATAGGTGACAGATCTGGACTGCTAGAAACCCATTTCAAAAGTGGTACATTATTTTCTTCCATCCATTTTATAGCCTTTTTTGAGGTATGGCACGCTGCACCATCTTGCTGAAACACAAAATCTTGGCCGGATGTCAAACATTTTTCCATCACTGGTAAAAGCGATTCTTCTAAAGTTGCCAAATATACTAAGTGACATATAAATCCGAACACCCAGTTTAAATGGTTTTATTTTAATAAAATTTTGTATAAGTACTTAATGAAGCATAATAAGTAAATGATAAAAATTTCAAAATGATTGCACTGCTTTAAAGCCCTTTGACCTTTAATAATGTGTGGATGCACCCTGATGTGCTACGCATTCTCCAACGCTCCTAGGCATGCTTCTGATCAGGTGGTCGATGTCCTCCTGTGGTATCTCATTCCAGGCAACTACCAACTCCTCTCGAAGTGCTTCTAGAGTCTGAGGACGACGTTGCAAATTGAGCAATCTCCTACCCATCATATCCCACACGTGCTCAATTGGGGATAAGTCGGGAGATCTTGGTGGCCATGGTAACCACGTCGCCTTCTAACCCTGGCACGACCATTGTGCATGCCTAAACAAAATCGAGACTCGTCACTAAAGACAATACTGTTCCATTCCTGATCCCAGAGTGACCGTTGTCTGCACCACTCAAGGCGATTACGTCGGTGTTCTCGAGTTAAAGGGAGGACCCAGTGTAGCCGGTATGAAAACAAGCCAAAACTTCTCATTCGTCGGTAAACACTTCGCATGCCAATAGGTCTTCCGTGTTCTATAAACCATTCATTTGCAATGGACCTGGTAGTGGAGAAACGGTCCCTTAAGGCCTTAGGCGGCGATGTTCACGGTCTGTTGTTCTACGGCGGCGTCCAGTGACCCTTGCTCTTTGCGTACGGCCTTCTCGAAGCCATGCCTGACAACACCTAACCACAGTGTCTACACTTCTTTGCACTCTAACTGCAATTGCCCGAAAAGAAAGTCCAGCTTCCCGAAGTCCCACTATACGGCCCCTATCAAACTCACTAAGTTGACGAAATCGTACAGGTCTCCGTACTCTAGGCATCGTAACCGATCGTAAAGGATGTCAAGAACCAAAATCCGCCAACGTTGATTTTTTACTGCGGCTGAAATATTCATTTTTAGAGCGTTAGTGAAATAAAAAAAGCAGTATAAAAACCGGAATGCCCAACTGCTAAGGCTGAAAATTTTTTCACTTGTTATTTACAGTAAGATAAATAAATTCACCAACTTTTATTAAAATAAAACCATTTAAACTGGGTGTTCGGATTTATATGTCACTTAGTATATTTGGCAATTTTAGAAGAATCGCTTTTACCAGTGATGGAGAAATGTTTGACATCCGGCCAAGATTTTGTGTTTCAGCAAGATGGTGCAGCGTGCCATACCTCAAAAAAGGCTATAAAATGGATGGAAGAAAATAATGTACCACTTTTGAAATGGGTTTCTAGCAGTCCAGATCTGTCACCTATTGAAACTTTGTGGCACGAGATGAAATAGGTTTTCCTAATCCTTTTGATGATATACTACCCCAGACCATAATGGATGCTGGAAATTTCACTTTTCTCTTCAGACAGTCAACATGGAATGCTTCATTTTTTTGCGAATAACTCTACTGTGACTGTCACCAACACAAACTTCGAATCGGGCCTCATCACTCCATTGTATTGCACACCATTGTTGAGGTGTCCATTGTCTATGTTCTTTAGCCCATCTAAGCCGATTTTACTTTTTCAGTGGAGTTAATAGTGGCTTTTCTTTGGCCTATAAACAAGTTGTGCAACTTTAGGGTTTTTACTTCACTATTTTTTTATAAGAAAACTTACCTTGGAAGTGCTAAATCCCAGTTTGTGGGCCTCTATATGAGTTGTGGACCTCGAAATTCTCCTTCCAACAGCGTCACTCGACAGAGCACTTAATTGTAAATAATTGGCACGCCTGTTTTTCAGGATTATTCTTCTTAATGCTCTTCGGTCGGTGATATTACTTTCTTTCACATATCGTGGCTTAATATTGACTGAACCAGTTACGTTATATCTTCTAACAATATTTCTCACACTCTACCGCGATAAGTCTAACAAAGTTGCAATTTCTGAGTTTGATTTCCCAGAATTAAAAAAATTAATTATCAGTAACCGAATTTTCTCACTAATAACCTTTCTTCTACCCATTTTGAAAACCTTAACTACCCGAAACTATTTTAAACGGATTCTGACAGCTGGGATTAACAAAAACAATTGTCATGGCTTTTATTTTTCACAGCCACCTATGCGTTATAGACTTATTTTGCATTGAAATGAAAATAGGTTGATTTGCTGTAATTTATGTGTTATTTTTATGCTGCAAATTTGATTAGGGAGTGATAAAGTTGGTGTTTTCTACTATATATCATCAAAATATTTATTGTTAATATTTTAAACCTATAACACCCTGCTACATTTTTATTATTTGTGTTTGATAAGAAAAAACTAAGATTTCAATAGTTGGGCCAACTGCAGTGGGAAGGGGCTCGTATATTATCATAAAAATATTCAATACTTGAGCTATGAGTTGTCAAGTATCTTGATAATAAAATAAAAGAATACACCGACCGAAAATATTTTAGCAGAAATGGAAATAAAGTAATATACTTTTCAGCACCACAGCAAATACTTAAATATCAATTTGTCAATTCGGAGGAAAAA